TGGGGGGCATGGGGGGCACAGGGGGCTCCAGAGGGACCTCATCCCTGGCCAGACAGGGGGAACAGGGGCTGGGACCCCTGGGATCTTTCCCAGCTCAGCTTCTTCCCACTGGAGCTGGTTAGAGGCTGGGAACAGGGATGTACAGTGGGTCTGATCCTGGGGGATGTGGTGGCTGCCCTCTCTGGGGGGATGGGACAGCACTGGGAGGTTGGGGGGTCCCTAGGATTGGGGTCCCCAGGGCTGTGATAGTAGAGTACAGGGGGGTCACTCACCTGACCCCCCCACTCACCTGTGCCTTCCCTCCCCAGCAATGCGGGGTCATCTCGGAGCACACCAAGAAGATGTGCACCAGGTGAGAGCATCCCGGGCTAGCATCCCTGTAGGGCTCGGGGGGGGCTTCGTGGGGGTCCCCAACGTGCCTGGATGCCCACAGGGTGAGGGGAAGCACCTGGCTGACCCCCGAATGCCATCCCCCAGGTCCCTGCGGTGTCCCCAGCACACGGATGAGCAGCGCAGGGCAGTCCGGGTTTACCTCCTCGGTCCCTCCGCGTAAGTGGGCACAGCCTCGGGGGTCCCCAAGGTCCTGGGGTCACTGTCCCGTGTGAACAGGGACTGGGGGGGGCTGCATGGGGTGCTCAGGGGGGCTGGGGACAGGGAGGCCCCCGGGAAGGGATGGGAGGTCAGGGCTGGGGTTGGGATGTGCAGTGGTGGGGAGCTGGGCCGAGCTCGGGGCATCCCCTTGGCATTGTGGGGGGCTCTGTTCCCCCCACCCCCCATGCCAGGGGCTGGGGACCCCCTGACACCTGTGCCCAGGTCCCTGCCCGAGGCAGAGGCCGGCGTGGAGAACGACAGCTTCGAGGTGGCCGAGAGCCAGGCCCTCATGAGCCGCCTGCAGTGGGATGGCTCCTCCGACATCTCCCCCTCCGACTCGGCCTCCTCCAAAGCCAGTGAGTGTTTGGGGGGCTGGGGGGAAAATCTAGGGGCACAGACCCTTCCATGGGGCAAATCTGGGGCACAGACTCCTCCGTGGGGCAGATACTGGGGCACAGATCCCTCCATGGGGCAGATATTGGGGCATAAAATCCTCCATGGGGCAAATCTGGGGGCAGACACCCCACTGAGTGGGAAATCCTGAGGAACAGGCCCCTTCATGGAGGCAAATCCTGGGGCACAGAGCCCTCTGCAGGGCAAATTCTGGGGGACAGACCCCTTTGAGGGGCAAAGCTTGGGGCACAGACCCTTCTGTGGGGGCAAAACTGGCTCTTTTGGCGTCTCCCCAGTGCAAGAGGGGATGAACACACTGTGGCTCCAAAGCCTAGAGCATCTGGGACATCTTGTCACCCACCATCCCAGGGTGGGGGAAATGTTTTGGGGAACATTATCCTGGGTGTGGATTGGTGATGGGGGGGACCCTCTCTGTTTTGGGGGGCCCATCTCCTCCCTGACACCCCCATTTCTTCCTTTTTTCCCCCTTTCCCAGGTACAAACAACTCCGAGTCCCGCAAGACCAAGAAGAAGAAGCCCCACCTGGGGCTGGTGAGTGGTGCCCCAGGGCTCGGCTCCAGCAAGAAGAAGAAGCCCAAGCCCCCCG